CACACACACACACACACACACACACACACACACAATCTAATTTCTTATTACTCAAACAACAGGTTTTCTTTTTTTTTTAAATTTCTTTTTCATAGAAGAAAGCAAAGCAAGCACATTTGGATGCTGTGGCCCCCTTTGAGGTTAGAAGGACTTTAATGTCAAGTTAGTGTACTGGAGGGCAGTCAGCTAAAAGGCAACTTCTAAAGGTGTGCATTATCCAAGAAGAGCCTGTGGCTTCATTACTGCACCTCAGTGTCTTTGCCACAGTGATCACTTCCAGGAGAGAAAGACAGTACTAAAGACTTATAAATGTGAAATGGTGTTGACCCAGCAAATATTAAACAAACAAGTGGCACATGAGCGTAGTTTGGTATTTATTTTGCTGTATGGAAACTGCTTTGTTTTAAAGTAAATGTAAAAGCTAATGAACACGAGTAAAGCATTGATGTTGAAATGTTTTGAAATTTATACAAGTAAATATTGACCTTTTCTGAAAAAAAGTATTTTTCTTTGCCCTTGTTTAATTTATTTTCCCTTTTTTGTTTTTTAGGTTTGCAATTTTTTTTGGTGATGGCATGTTCAGAATCTTGGATCCCTAAATTGAATGTTGGAAATATGTAGGAGCCTTGGAAATGATCTTGTTTTCATATGTTAATGCCTTGGTAGGTGAATTAGTAGACTAATAAATATATGTAAAGGAGCATTGTAAGGTGACAGGTGTGTCTTAAGACTGTCACCTGTCTGAGTCTGTGCTCTGGAGACAGCTCTGTTGTGGAGCTCTCTCTGTCCTGGGTAGTCTGTGGGATTCCTCCCATGATGCTTAGCTTAGCTGGTTTTCTTTCCTACCTACATTGCAGTCTGAGCTCCTTAGATCACAGGGATCATTAATCAGGAGTTTTGAAGAGAAGAAAAAGCATCAAGTGACAATCTTAAGTGCAATAACTACAGAATTTCTACCTGGAAGTCATCTCACAAGGTCTGTATTAGAATATGTAAATTTTTAAAACTAATATATGTGTAGCGAAATGCCGCCAGTTTTTAAAATCGGGCATTATTATAGATCAGAAGTGTTCACATTGAGGGAATAAGGATGGTCGAGTTCACCTTTGTCCTATCTCCCCCTAGTCAGTTGATGAGTTAGTGGAAGGGGTTAGTGGTCTGTAAGCAGGAGGAGAAAAGGCTTGAATTTCCAGAAGGGATTAATTTCCCTTTAAAACAGAACAAAACAAAACACAAAACCCAGAAGTCAGTTCCCTTCCCTATGTGGGCTGCTCTCATGTAGAATGTGGGTGAGAGTGTTCATCCATGGACAGATAGATGGTGGTATCCAGTGCAGATTAGAGTTGCTGTAGTTGTCCTTGGTGGTTCGTTGGCCTTCGTCCGCCTCCTGCACCTGCTGGAATTCAGAGACTTGAAGAAGCTTAGTTACTTGGTCAGCGTGAATACTGTCCTCCTCTTATATCCTAACTGGGGAGTAGTGATTTCGAGCCCACAGTTAAGCAGCCCAGAAGGTGAGGGCAGTGCAGGAAGCTGCAGAGACTGAGTCCGAGCTCAGGAGAGCTGCTGCTGAGCTTTATCATTGGTGAGTTTGTCATTGTTTCCTCCAGCCTTCTCCTCCCCTTTCAGTGGCAGGAAATAGATGATACTTATTTAATGGAAAACACTACGTAGATTTTTGTTTTTAATTTTACATACCAATCTCAGCATGTGTTGCCTGTTTAGCTGCTTTCTGATTACAACTGGCTTTTAAAAACTCTCCTTCTATGGCACTTCTGTCAATAGAGGTTTCCTTTTAGCCACTTCTAGCCACAGTATTGATTGGGCCTGGGTATCTGATACACCCAGAACGAATTAGCCAGCCAGAAAAAAAAACTTTGTCCCCACCAGAATAAATATTTTAAAGACCTTCTTAGATTCTGAAAACCATGTGTACAAATGAAAGAGACTCAAGAAAGAGAAACCTTAGGCTCCTGCTAGCACAGAGTGCTGGTGGGCTGCAGACTGACCTTTCCAGAGCAGCTCTCCTGGAGGGGAAGAAGATGCTGGGGTGTCCTGGACACGAGACATTTCATGTTGTCATAGCTAGTTTTCACAAGCATGCCATGGAATTTAAGAATAATAAGGCCAGTGTTTGGAAATATTGATGTATTTCCTAATGGTGAGTTTGAATTATGGCATGTTCTAAATGTGTTTGCAGGTCAATGGTAAATTTAAGTTCAAATAAATGTCTTAAATATTAGAGAAAATACATTATCAATAAAATTCTTTTGTTCCTGTTGTGTAACTTTACAAAATTCTATAGAATATTATGTGTATGGTGGAGAACCGAGGGCATGAATATGGTCACATTGGCCGTCTCCTAGAAGCTTTTAGATAAAACTTTTAAGACTGTACTTAATCTTGTTTTACTTATAGTACTGATTAGAGAACATTGTAGTGTCTCTCATGGGAAGTCTGTCCCTTCCTGGGTCACTGTGCTTCACAGCCTTGGTACATCACACTCCAAAGAGAACAGATCTGTGCGTGTTATTTATGTTATTAACAGAGGGACCCAGAGAATGAGTGGAGGAATAGCCTGCCATTTTGGGGAAATGGTAGAGAAACTCCATATGGAAATCAGCTGAAAGCTGGGGCTCCTTCACCAGCACCCCCACACAGACAGGCACATTGGCATAGGAGGATACCCAATCTTTGGGGTTCTCATCACTCTCTCGGACTTTGATCTGCTCCCTCAGTGCTTCTGTGCTTCCAAAGGAAGGACTTCCAACTAGAAGGCTGTCTACTGTCTCTTCACACAGGCTTGCAGCCTAGAGAAAGGGAACAGACTCTGCACACTCTATTCCACAGGACATAGGGAGACAGTAGAGTGTGAGGCATAGTGCATGGTGGTGTCTTTACTGATAAATCTTGATTCCATAGTCGTTAACTAGGAATGCCTTTTAAACACAAGCAGATACTTTCCCCCCTGAATTATTGCAAGGGTTTTCTTATGTCAGCATATTAAATTATTCTTAAATTATATAATAGTGACTGGAAATTTGGGATTCTGTTGTGACTTGTAAATTTGAAGTGCATTTTCAGGAAAATTGTCAAGATTCCCAGGTAACTCATTTTCATTCCTTGCAGCCTTCTGGTATGTGATCCTTTCTGAGTTTGTCAGTTGGGAGGAGACACCCTTTGGCTTCTGTTCTGCCTCAGTGGCTTTCTTTGGCTTGCACTACTCAACATCTCATTTGTTAAAAGGTCCATTTGGACAGCTCTTGTGATTTCACATCCACAAGAAAAGAGGGTCCTGCATGCCTCAAATCCATGTTTCCTGTGGTGACCATAAACACATTAAGTACAAGGAGTTCCAGAACCTGCTGGACTTCTGCTACGTTTGCCCTGCTCATCCTTGCTGGGTAATTCCATCATGGTTCCTTCCAGCTCTTTAAAATGGTTCCGTTTGGCTCCCGAGTCCACATAGAGGTATCAACACATAGTTCACCCCTCTTCTTTCCCATTGTTAGGTTGCATTCTGCTGAGAACAGGAGCTACGCATCACCTTACTGAGAGACTCACTCCTGATGTATTTCCATCCTCCTTCCTGAAGAGAAAGCGGCATTTTAAGCATAGGGGCCTTGGCTGTCTAAGGATTGTCTTTAGAAAGTCCACAGCACTGTATTCTCAACGTGGCCTCTCAGTGTGCTGGTCACTGCCGTTGTGGTTTCCAAGGAAACCTTCTCCAGCTGCCATGCACTGAAGCCTGAGAAGCCTAGTGTGCCTCAGGCATGGGAAGACCCAGAGCTGACGCATGAGTATGGAAGCTTGCTAGGACCTGAAGAGAGCTAGAGACGCTCCTGCGTTTCCCCTAGGTGGCTAAAAAACCTGTTACATAGAGAAAGTGTCTGTCAGCAAGACTTGTCCAGACCATAGACCAACTTTTTAAGCCCGCATGAGTCCCCATTGGACCTACGCAGACTATCTGGGTGCATGTTTGTACCATCATTTAATCTTTTGAAAACTTGGTTATACTGACATAGAAGTTTTTTACACATAAATTTCAGAAGCAATACAGATGTGTGTTATGGAAAGGCTATATACTCTGCTTGTAATAAATTTCTGACTCTTGCATAATAAAAATTAAATGGTCCAATTATGGAAAACCCAACACTTGGAATTTTTTTGGTGGAGTGTGTTAAGTGCATGGCTGTTTTTACTTTTCCTGTAATATATGCATATTCTCTGCATCTGCTGCATATAAATCTGTGGTCAGGGGTCATGTGTTTTCTCCAGAAATTCTAAGCTCTTGGCTATAGTCACTAAGTCCTGGAAATGCATCTCAAGGTTTTCTGTGAACATAGCAAACTTTGTCCAAGTAAAGTAGCTTTACACTCTGAAGGAGGTTTTAGTAAGTAAGAGTGAGTGGGGGATGTGACTCAGAAAGAAAGGAAAGACCCCTGTCTGGAACACGAGTAGATAAGCTTATGTGCACGTCTGAACCCAGTCAGGGGCTCAAGGGTACCAGAGCTCCCAGATGACCAACTAAGTGCAGCACATTCAGCATGCACACGCAACAGAATACAGGGGAAAGAACACGAGGGCAAGCAGGAACCGCATGGTAAAAGATGAAAGTTTTAATCTGGCGTGAAGCTCATGATGGTCAGTCCCAGCACTCAAAAGGCAGGAGGCTTGCCCTGTATCAAGGACAGTCAGGGCTATAGAGTGGATTCTAGTCAACAGCTTTCAAAAACCTAGACAAAACTCAAAGTATATCTCTTTCTACTGTATGTCAGGTACATAAAATTAAAAGTTTATACTGTTGAGTTCTCTTAAAGACATTTGTACAATTTCTCATTGCCCTTTGAAGTCAGAAGCCTGGGAGATGGCATTTCTTGGCACTGTAGGTCAGATTTAGCAGGTTAACTGAGTTTTACCTAAAGGATTTGTTTAATTTTCAAGTCCCTTAGTAGGGTTTCTGAGACCAGTCAAGGGGATTGTGACCATTCCTTTAACACACAGTTCAGTAGGCATCTTTGTAAAACCAATCTAATGGTCAGGGTGGAACTAATGCTTGGTCAAGAACTTTCTGGAAATCTCTTATATTACCAATATGTTAAAATTCAACTGAAAACTCAGATGATGTAAAGATTCCTGACAACAGAAGACTTTCAGGAAATGACTTATACTACCCTGTGGATTATGGTTATTAATTTTGTGTATGTGTACACAAAATTGCCTACACAGTGTTACAGCTTGAGTATGGGGTCAGTGGATAGTTTGCAGAAATCAGTGCTCCTCTACCATGGGTTCTGGGACTGGACGTGGGTTGTCAGGCTTGAGTGGCAAGTGTTTTTACTCACTAAGCCATCTTCCTGGTCTGGATTAATCAATTTTTAAAATTTCTGCTCATCTGTAATATGAAGTTTGAGGCTGATTTTTGCATCTTCTTTAGCTGAGCTACTTTTATTAATAAGCTTTAAAAGAAATGAACCAAAACTACACTGAAGTGTCCCTGATGCCTTTAAGATACATAGCCATCTTCATCTTCCCAGAAATGTCATTTTCTAGAAAAATTTAAGTGCCATAATTCCAGTTTTCATACCTTTTCTACTCATGGCCCAGCCACAGTGCTAAGTGTGTCAGGGAGCCACTGTCTTGGGAAGATGTGGCTTTTCCTTGTCTTCTTCAAGAGTAGGGTTGGATGTTGTTCAGTTGTTCAGTGTCTTACAGGCACAACATTCAGAGGAGGCTCCGTGACCTCTCGGGTCTGTGCCAAGTTATTCCCAGGTTGTACATGAGAGGGCATTTGTTCTAGTTAAGTATTTTCCTTAGAATTTTTTTTTAAGAGGCCCAACAGTGAATCCGTAAGCCCCGGGCTGTGATTAGTGAGACAGTTGTTTCCTCCATTCGTTGGGACTTAAAAGCAACACTGAAATGATCAAGTAAATGAACTTGGCTGCAGGCTCGTCTCGGAGTCTGTCGAGTTGCTCTCTGTCCTTCCCTAGGGCTGCCCAACCATCACCTGAACTTCTGAAAATCCATCCAAAGTATTACTTGCCATTAAGATTTTGAGCCAAAGAGTTTTAATATTCCCAAATTACAGCAAAGATTACTCATCAGTACCTATTGAAATACTTCTTAAAAATAACTGAAACTAGAAACTGGTGGTCTTGTGATTTTTTTACTCTGAAGAGGAAGCACAAGTTTCTTTGGGTCTCTGATGACAGTCTCAAGCAGGAAGCTTAGCCGTCTCTCTGCCTTGTTCCCAAGATGTTTACATTTTGGTCAACTGGCATCTTGGTTTCCCTTACAAATTGTAGAGTTCTGTTTGGTTGGTTGGTTTGGTTTGTTTTCTGCTTGGATTTCTTCATGGCCTATGTAGAAATCCAAACTCCAGATCACAGAACAGGCTTTCATACACTTTCCAAAGCTGTCTGGAATCCGTAGGATGTACCAAAATATTGGAGATATTGGAGAATGGTTCCCACCTGAGGAAAATGGGAAAGGTGTGGCCTGGTGTACCTTGTGGGTGGCTCAGGGCTGCTGCCCTCCACTCTCCATTTTTCCTGATTTGTCAGTTGGAATTCCTTGATTTTACCAAGCTGAAGGCAGGCGTTGGAGTGATGCATTACCTGTCTGCCAGCATGAGCAAAAAGGTTTTACAGCTCCCCAGGAAGCCGCTGTAGTGAATTGTAGTTTCTTCCTTTTGGTTTTAATTGTAAAATGTCTGTTTAAATATCTGCCATTTCCTCTTTAAAAAAAATAATAAAAGTTTTGCCATTGCAGCCAACCTAGAAGCCCATTTAGAATTGTGCTCATCAGTGTGACTCCTTGAGGCCTAGGCAGGTCAGTCCTGGGGTGTCTTCATAGCTGCCCTGAACTGTTGGGTCCTGTACCATCTTCCTCTCACTTGTTGAGAGCTCTCAGGCTGCACTAGCACTGCTGAGGCAGATGCACTGTGAATAGGCAGGAGTTCTGCTATCCCGAGACTCCTCTGGATGATGGAAAATAACTAGCTCTTGCCATCTTGCCAACTGAAAGCTCTCACTTCTCCATCTTCTTTCCTCTCACCCCTTTCAATATGAGCTACACCAAAAGCACTCTTCCAGAAGATTTTTGAAAGACTTGGTTCAGCTGGATGCACCAATTAAAGCCCTTCATTCTTGTATTGATGATGTTTTCTAGATCTCAGCTACTATCCCAGTCTCTTGGGAACAGAAATGAGCATAAAGTTTGTGTTTGGAATAAACTTGGTTTAACATGTTTTGAACCTTGACTGACTACTGACAACACAGGGAACAAGACCATGGCACTGTGTGCCCAGCATGCTGTGGGGAGACGGAAGCCATGCGTGGTGATGACTAACAATATTAGGGTAGATGTTCCTCAGAAGGTGTGTCCTGGGAAATGTTTGTAAAGGTTTCTGCATTTCCAAGTACTCCTTGGCCCACATTATGCATGTACGTCAACTGTGAGCAGCTTCTTGCCTCTCTGTGCTTGCCTCGCCTGATTTCCCACTACCCAGCCCAGACATCAGCTCCATGGCAATAAGCATTTATGACACTTAAAATGAAGAGGTTCCACCGGAAGGGAGTGATGTTCCTCAAGGGTCTACAGCCCAGACTTAGGTCATGCAGCCAGATATGAAAAAGAACTAGCCTACAGGCAATTAGAAATAGACCAGTAGCAGACTCCATGTTTCATGCTGCAGGGAGGAATTGCAACTCTGGGCAAAGGTGTCCTCTACTGTCTTCTGCAGCTTTCCCTGTAAAAGTTAGTTAATGTTGAACAGGACCAGGATTCCTTGGGTCCTGTGCACAGGTCAGAACTTCTAGTTAGTGAGGGACAGAAGATGGGGCAATTAGATTTTTTTCCACCATCTCTATACCTTTTTTCTTCAAAATGTATACAACTTGTTTTGAAATTTTGATATGATTTGCAAACCTTACTTTCCATTAAACATCCTTGCAGCCCAATCTCTCCCCCCTCTTTTGTGTAGTACTGGGTTTGAACTTAGATGTCATACATGCTAGGCAGACCACTACACAACCTGTCTATGTCACAGCCCCACAATTTGTTGCAGTATTAGCAAGTACACATTCTTCTCAGCATCTTTCTCTGTGTGGATGAAACAATCTCTCTTGTATTGGCTCCTTGTCACTGCAACAGAATACTGGACTGAAATGGCTTAGGTGTGGCAGTAGATCATGACACCAGCAACATGACACTATGACCTGTGAATCCGAAAGCTGGGGTAGCTAGGTCTTGACCTATAAGCTCCACCACTGTAGCCATTGGTCAGCTGGCTAGACCCATGACCAAAGGCTCTCCAATCTTTTCTGAGCTTCTCCAAGCACGAACTCAGCTGTTCAAAACACATGAGCCTATGAGGTCACTTCTGTGTTCAAACCATGATGCCCCTACTGCTGGAAGCTAGGTTTACAGTTCAGGTTTGTTCCAAGTTTTCTCTCCTACAAACTCGGTTCCAGTGACAACTTCCATGTAATTTCTCTCCTACTCCATTACCTTGGTAGGAGTTATCAACACTTGGAAACTTGGGGTGTGTATATCTGAGATGCAGTATACAAGGACTCACTGCTTCCAGATGCCTCCTCTGAGTAGTGTGTGCGCTTTTTAGAACACTAAAGCTGGACAGCATTTCCCTTTGGACTTGTAGGGCTGTGCCACCTGACCTAGGTACTCATGTTTTTTTTTTCCCAGCCAGGTTTTGCAGCACCGACATTAAGGTCTACAGACCTTCCCAGCCTAGTGTGAAACTGCTTTGATTACAAGTTTTCCTGGTTTAATTAGGTAGATCAAAGAGAAGTGTTCTCACTGCAGAAATTGAAGATCTGTGGCAAGTCTTGATCTATCTCTCTTTCTAGTCTTCTTAGGGTGGTGGTGTATTATTTTATTCTGGTTTTCAGGGGGGGAGCCTTTTGGATGTGGCCCAGTTGTGCTGTTTTGTGCTTAGGGCTGTCGGTACTGGTCCTCTCCCCATGCTGCCCTCCCAGGTCATCATAACACCTCTAGATGCTTTCTAGGTGAAACCATTGGGCACTAAATGCAAAGAGTAAGACCTTCAGGTCCTTGCCTGGTCACAGAGCTTGACTTAGAAGTCATTAGTTCATTAGTCCTGGAAATGGTTGCTACACTGTCTCATTTCCA